AACAGAGTTAGTTAAAGATTGTATGGTCAAATGGGCTCAAAATATTCAAGATGTGATTTTATTGGATACATGGGAGACAATTTGGGTTAGAAATGTAAAATTTACTCAAGCACAAAATTTAAGAAAAATTTTTTATAAAATGTTTTATAGATGGCATTTGAATCCCCAAAAGTTGTCTTGCATGTATCCGAATTTACAGCCCAAATGTTGGAGATGTGGAAATTTAGATGCAACTTATTTTCATATTTGGTGGACCTGTAGAGATATTAAAGCTTTTTGGATTAAGATTTGGTGGAATATTCAAAAGAGTTTTAAGAGAAAGATAAAGTTTACTCCGCAATTATTTTTGTTGGGTATTATTGTAGATTTTGATGTTAAAGAAATCAATTTGATGTTGAATCTTATAACAGCTGCAAGATTATTGGTGGGGCAATATTGGAAGAAAAACTCACTGCCTACTTTGGAGGAATGAATACTTAAGGTGTCTAATTTAGCAGAAATGGCAAAAATCTCCGCCTACTTGAAGGACCATTCACAAAATAGATACATTATGGTCTGGAGAAGATGATTGATTATATTCAAAAGAAATATGAAACTGAAAAGTATTACCTTGCTTTTGAGTAGATTTTAGATAATTATTAATAGCTTTAATTATATTATTATTTTTGTTTTAATTGGTTAGTATTTGTTTTGAGAAGGAGTTAAAGTGTGTTATGGTTTTGATTGATAGTATAGTTGGTTTATGTTAGTTAGATTATGTTTGTTTATTTGTTACCCTGTAATCAGCTCTGGGAAGTGGGGGAGGGGGGAAGGGGCGGGGGGTTTATATTGTAATAAATTTGTAAAACTTTTAATAAAAAAAAGAACTGTAGGGACAGTGTTAGATGACGTATGAATCAATGGTAAATATAGCCAGCTCCTTTACTTTTATCCACGGTGGTGAATGTAAGTTGTGTCTCGGTCTTGTAAGTTGTGCTGGTCTAGAAATCAGGAGGTACCTCCATTAGGTATGAAAACCAGCTGGGTGATATTGGGCCAATGACTCTCAGTCCAATGCATTGCATGGAGTTTTTGTCGTGGGAAATATAGGAAAAGGAAGGGGTATTGGGTATGCTCACCACCTTATAAAAAAAATGGCAAGATAGAAATTTAACAATAAAAAAATTATCCTATGTATTCTGTTCTTTGTATAGTTATTTGCTATAATTGACTGGATTAAGGAAAGAGACCATGCCCTTATTTGAGTAAAGAGTAAATGCCACCTGTAATAATAATGTTCTTTAATACATTTAAAGAACATTCAGGGAGATATGAATGCTTTTATATTTACTGCTATAGCAATCCCTCATTTTACTTGTGAATGTTTTGTCCTTTTGATATTCCAGGGATGGCACAGAAATCCAAGGTACCTATAAATGATCCATGGAAAGAAGTGCTATTGTTTCTTATTTTATTCAGCACATTAATATTGATACATTTACACCATCAAAATCCATGTCTTCAATCTTCAACACAAACAGAAAAAGTAATATAGCTTCACTGATACACTTCTTGATATGCAGGTCTTCCTAGAGCCTTCTCAATCTTCTGTTAGATCATAGGTCCTTGTCTACTTCTAACAGGTAGTGTATCATGACCTAACTGGTCTTTAAAAGTAGAGATATATAGCAATGCACCTGGAATGTAGAGACTGAACTATAGACTTTATATACTCTAGTGTCATCTCATTAGGATGTGGGGCAGTTGGAGTGGAGTGATGGAGTGACTGAATCTCTTTGAACTCAAATAAGTGAAAATAATTTTGGTAGCATTACAATATGCCAACAACAAAGGGGGATTTACAAATAAATCCCCTTACCATCCAGACAGTATAACTATGGAAAGCTCTGTAATAATGAATAGCATTACCATAATACTTTATCTGATGTCTTACTGAATTCAGTAAATTACCCAGCAAGTTCCTCCAGATTTAAATGAATAAACCTCTATAGCAGAAAAATACCATAAGGAAATTGAGTTGCTCCAAAGAACCTTTTATAAATACAAAGGTATTTATAAGTATATATTGAATGTGCCTTTAAGTCAGTGATGAAGCCGAAAAACTGCCTGGACAAGTCCCTGGAGTTTCCTTGGCAAGATTTCAGAAGTGGCTTGCTCTTGTCTGCTTACCACAGCTGAAATAGTGACTGGCCCAAAGTCACCCACCTGGCTTCATTCCTAAGACAGGACTAGAACTCAGTCTGTAGGCTTCTACTCCCGAAGACTTAACCACTACACTAGGGGTCTTCAAACTTGGCCTTTTATGACTTGTGAACTTCAACTCCCAGAATTCCTCAGCCAGGCATGAGGAATTCTGGGAGTTGAAGTCCACAAGTCATAAAAGGGCCAAGTTTGAAGACTCCTGCACTACACCAAACTAGCTCTTAAATACAAATGCGTCTATACAAAATTGTGCAGGCAGAAATTTTCGAAGAGCTTTTTATTCCATTTTCCCTGACAATCCTCAGCAACTGCCCTGTTTTTGAATTGAGTAGGATTGTTGGTTACCTAACAGGTTGGCATGTCTTCCATACATTGCTATTAAGAACATGAGTATGAATACCTTGTTTTAAGAAACATGTTCTTTAGGTCAACTCCACAAATTGTAAGATTGTATATTGTGGAACAACTGTTTTTTTTGCTGGTTATATACTGTAAGTTATAGAAAAACTTCAGGTTTTTGCTGGCTTTATTATGACCAATTAAAACTGTTCTGCTTTGAGAAATATTTAAAATCAGTTTTAGAATGCTACTCTTCATGAAAATATGGATCTTATATGTTTTATGACACTCTGTAAGTGAAGTCCAGAGAAATGAAGTATGTTTAAGTCCCATATAAATCAATGAGATAAAAGTCCACTGCTAATTGACCAGAAACAATTTAGAATTAAACCCTGTTTCCAAATGTACTGGAGAATCTTTTCCATCAACTACAGCAATTCTTAGTATGTTCTACCCAAAAGGCAACATTACAGCTTATGGCTGTTTGTATAATGAATATTCAAAGTCATGACAGACTTTTAAAAAGCTAATTATAACTCACCCTCAATTTAGGATGCCCCACAGTCACATGATCACATTTCAGATACCAACTTGGATCTGTGACAGACTGTAATGTTCCGCAGTCACATGACTAGGGTTTGCAATGGGTTGTTTGTTTTTTGCCATTTTCCAGCAGAAAACAGAAAAAGAAACCCATCTACTGAAAAGGCTGAATGAAAGTTCAGATGGTTCACTTAAGAACCATGTGATTTGCATAACAACCACAGTGACTTACTTTACAACCACCATAAAAATGGTAAAAAAAAATCAAGTCTATTTGTGTGGTATCTCAACTTATGACTGCAACAACTTATGATCAAAATTCTGGGCTCTATTGTGGTCTTATGTTGAGGATTATCTGTATTTACTCCTGTATAAAATATTTTGTTTCCCATTACCCCAGTTATACTTGCTACGTTACAGATGTTTTACTGTAATAAATCTCTATGAAATTTACCAAATACATTATTGAGGTTTTGAATGTAATACAGAAAATCTTGTTTGAAAAAAAATGATAAATCAATAAGGTTTGATATTGTTCAGGTAATTTTATTCAAAATTGATTTTTATCTCAAAATTGCTATTTTGATTCAAACTTTTTTTAAAGAAAAACAAATACTGAAATACAGTATTTTGCATTGCCTCATGAATACTTTAAGAATTCAGTGAATATAATCCCCAAATAGCTTTAGTTCCTAAGTGAAATTATGAAGAAATACTTTCAAAACATTGTTTATTGCATACAGCCTTTTCATTTATTATAAATGACATTGAGACATGAATGTCTGATTCTATAGTTTTAAGTGCAAAAGGCAGGTGTGATTCCATTGATAAAATATGTTCAGTGTAGAATATAAATAATCCAGTTTTAGGTCAAGCATAATAATCTAACAGCTAGCTTCTTGCCAAGCCTTTTGGTAAGATCCATGTCCTTCTATTGTTTGTACAACTGATACAACTACAATTTGGAGAACTCCTTGCTCAGCTCTTGATAGTTTTGCCCTCCATCCAATCCCCTTTTAAACCCAATCATTTTATGAACATTATTCTGTTTAATGGTATGAAGGATACCTTGTTTCCTGAATTTATTTTAATTTCCTGCCTGAGCAAAATCAGCATGGCCTATCTCTAGCTTACATATTCCCTTCAGGAAATAAAGTATTAATTGATGCAATTTCTACATCATCCTTAAGCCTCTCTTTCACTTCAATATTATTTAACAGTCCACCCATTTTCCTGATTTTTTTCTTGAAATTATAAGTTTCTCATTGTTTCCTTCTTTTTTGGCCATATACTTCTTGTTTTGCATTCCACTGTGACACTTCTGTCAATGCTTTGTTCTTCTTGTTAAGATTGATTTTCTTGGGGAAGGGCTTAACATTTATAATCTCTTTAAAAATACTTGATGGCTAGGTCTCTTTACAAACTTAACATCCTTTCTTACACAGTGGAATACCTTCCAACTGACCTTGTGTTATTGTGGTTTTCAATAACTTTCAGACAATCTAAATATATGACCTTTTTCAATCATTTTTAAAAAGTCTTTTCTGACATAAATGTGACAGTGTTGGACTCTGCTAGCATTTTCTCTTGAAAATAAGCTAAAATGTAATAGCATTATGCAGTTACAATTCCACAATTTTTACATCTCAGATGATAGATAATTCATCTATTGATCTACAGTAATGTATATTTGTCACTGGGTATTATGTTGATATCATACTCTTTTATAAATAGGAACAAATCTGCCCGTATGCTTTTCTGTCTCAGAATGGGACAACTCGCCACAACCAACTCACTGTGACTAACTCGCTGTGGTGCAACATGCCACGGTCAACTCACTACGGGACAATCAACCATTCCATTAAATTATTTAAAATAATTTAAAAAATATTTTAATTTTTATTATTCATATTTCATTTTGTTTCTCCTTCTTCAGCCTTTCTTTAACGATTCTATTCCATTTCTTCTACATTAGTGTAACTCTTGTCCTGTGGCAAGTTGTTCCACAGCGAGTTGGTAGCACCAAGATCCTCTCTGTCCTTTCCATTGTTTAAAATGATGGACACAGAGTAGAAAACACTAAGAACAGGGGTGTCAAACTGCCGGCCCTTGGGCTGGACACGTCATGCGGAAGCCACGCCCACCCCATTGCTGGCAATGGCAAAACACTCCCGATATATTGTGCGATGTCATGTCACGTCGCAAGCTTGACATGTCTAAGATCAACACTAAATTGATAATGGAGCTTACATGGTAACAGTTATTTGGTGCAGTAATTATCTCTAACTAACCACCATTTACAGGGCTGCTACTATTAGAATAAAGTAAGGGAACATGTAGAAGAATCAGTCTCTAGCCAATGAAATGCAAGATATAATGTATAAATATGGCAGTAAGGTGTTTTTCAGAGAAAGGGGAAATATAAGGTAAGAACAAACTGAAATAAAGGACCATACATACAAAACTGAGAGACACAAATCTTCTGATTTATCTATCCCAACATATGTTTTAACAACATTTACCCACCAAATACCTATCCAAAATACCACAAAAAAAAAAAATGTTGTAGAAAGACAACAATCTAGAGCAAGAGACAAGCACACTTCCTATTTTGACCCAACTATAATCTCAGATCTTAGCCATAATCAAAACTACTATCTGGGAAATATGCCCCCACAAACTCAAATGGAATTAACTTATGCAGATCCCAAAGGTGCTTTTTCACAAGGCAACTGTACTTTGTTTTTCTTTGAAGGCATTTCGTTTCTCATCCAAGACGTTTCTTCACTATACCATCACCAACAAGCAACTACCAAACGATCAAACTATAGGCTAATTGTGTTTATAACTGCCAATTTCCAAATTCATCCCAAATTGAGGAGGAAGAATTAACTTTCCCTTGCTATCTTGATTTTGAAAGAGGAAAAAAAACACAAGTGTTTTCTGAACCAGGTTTTTTCGTTATAGATTCTGGCTCTGACTTCCAAACACTGGGCTGGACTCCTCTACATTAATTAAAAATATAGGAAGGCACATGAATACTTCTCAAAACATAAACACACATGCAATATTTTTTTAAGTCTTGAAATTATTAGAAAGCACTGTAAACTAAAATACACAATTTAAAGAGGCTATGTGAATATCTCAGCAGTTCTATTCTGAAGATATGCCAACTAAAATATTTCCTTGGAAAAAAGTGATTGTTAAGAAAAATCAGCTTGCAAAATGCTGTGTAAATTCCCTTTAAAGAGAAGAAATGTCATCCATTCCTCTATGCTGCATAAATGTGAGGATAACAATAAAAAAGAGATTGTAAGGATAGAGAGCAATATAAAATAACTATAGGATTTCTTTAGAGCCCTGGAATTAAATGCACCACCCTAGACAGTGTCACTGGCAAGCTAGTGTATACAGTGACTCTTTTGCATCAGATTAAAATGTTTGTATCTTGTGAAATATGTTTACATACAGAATGAAATAAAAACATAAGGGAATGTTACAATGAATTGGAAATAAAATTATTTACTAATCTGAGAATATATATTTTAAAAAACTTACTTGAGGTATTTCAACTACTTACTTGGATTAATGCAATGTAACCTATATAGGGATGACTCTGAAGACTGCTCAGAAACTGCAACTGATATAAAATGTAGCAGGTCCTAGCTTAGCAAATCAAATTATCTATATTCTTACAACATCTGTTCTATAGTCACTACAGTGGTTACCAATGTTTCCTGGTGCAATTCAAAGTGATGGTTTTAACATATAACCATGGCAGCAAGGAAGAACCATCTTCTTCACACAGAAGTAGCCTACCTAACTTACCCTTTGCACACATTCTTCCACCATCTTTTAATGATGCCTCAAATACATGAAGAGACAAGAGTGCAGGTAACATTTTTGCTTAGAACCCTCATATTCCAGTTTTCTTCTGGAAATTAGGCTGATGCCTTCTTTGTCAGCCTTCTGGAAGCTATTAAAGATAAATCTTTTCCAAAGTGTCATTGGATAATGAATTGCAATCTCTGTGCCTAATGTATTATGGTAGATTTGTGTTTTATTTAGATATTTTATTTTTACCTTATCTTTTCATGATGTAAGCTGCCTTACCTTGCTTTCTCAGTCCAGGGGATACAAATGCAATAAACTATTAAAGAAATATTAACCCTTATAAAGTTAAGGAGCCATGGAAATCACTATGGAATTATTACTTATTTGCTGTAGGATGCAGTTTCAGTATAGCCTACTAATGCTATTAGAGCTATTCAAGAATAAATGGATTGTAAACACTCTCTTACTTCAGTAAAAAGGATTAGTTTAATTAATATGGCTTTATAGAATGCTTCCAATTTAATTGTATTTTTCATGCAAAAACCTAGTCTTTTCTGAAATTTTCATAAAAGATTGCTAGAACAGCTCAGTAAATACTATTTTTCTTATACATACATATTATTCACAAAATTATGAAATTCAATGTTTAAGTAGATCACATGTAATAGGTTGAAGTGCATGGTTGTTTGATAAATCACCACTGTCAATTCCTGACTCCATATTAATGACAATCTAGGTAGAATTTCTTTAATTGATAGCATGTAATGCTTTATTTTGTTAGCATTAACATATAATGGATCCTGTTCTTGTTTTATTTAACCAAAAGGTTTGTAAATGTACAATATTGCAAATTAGACCACAATAAAGTGCATCTAAAGTTGTATTTCTTTTTTAAAAAGCCATGGCCTTTTGATATAGCAACATTCTTAATTAAGATACATTGCTTAGTTGGGTATGAACTTGTCCTGCAATCATCCCATAACTTTAATTTTAAATAGCATTTGACTACAAAGCATACAATGTAAAAAATCAATTTAAGAGATCACAGCTGTATTAACAGAATTTTGATGACTTATCATGTTTCTAGGTCAAGGTTGTAAATATGAAATTTTGAATATTTTTTGGTCATTACTTTTGAAAAACTTATAAATAGTAAATTTATTTAAATAATGGAGCATTTGCATGATATATGTTACCAGAAATAACTGTGCTCAGACTGAGGAAGTGTTTTGCTTTAAATAATAAAATGACAGTTATCGTTTTTATATTTTTATGTCTGCCAGTTAACCCAAAATACATATAAAATGTAGAATTTTATTTGCTGTACACCTGATATAGAAATATAATACTAGCAGCTGATTTCCCAAAGTTTTTTTTTTAAAAAATCCAACAATTTTCTTTTATACTACATAGAAAAAAAATTAAAATTAAACATTTCACTGACATTATTCTGCTGTATTTTCTTACTTTGGTAATGTCAGCTAAATTGCACCAACTTTTAAGATCTGATTGCAATATAATAGCTGACTTAAATTTGCAACAGTAAAGGGATATACACTTTCCTCTACCCACAGTCTAAATAATATAGTTACAATGCCTTTCACAAATAGAATGTATTCATGTTGGTTTGGTTTTGAACCTCCAGGAAAAAAAAATCAAGCATCTAATGAAATGGTTCTTCTCCTCTCAAAAGTTTAAAACAACATACCGACACAAAGTTATTTCAATGTGAATTTTTGGACCTCCCTTAATTGCCCAGATAATCTATCCCAACTGCTTAACATACATTATTTTATTATGCTAATCTGTTTGGACATGACAATGTTTAATCAAGCATTTAGGCCACAGTGGAAACGTATGCAGCTCTTATTCATGAAATGTCTGTAGCAAAACTACTCTTCATATTAAGTGCCACAATCATCTTATAGCTTTGCATTTTTAATACTTCAACTTTTTATATATTTTCATTGTTGAAGAAATGATATCACAATTTCAAATCAAAGTCAACACTGCAGTGAGGAGAGCTTTTCTACTTTATTACAAAGAGAAGAAGCCTTTATGTGGTCAGAAAATACAAGATTGATCTTTTTTTTTTTTTTCTCTTCCTATGAAACGCTGCTGTTCAAACAGCCAGAGTGAATTGTCTCAGTTCACTTCGTTAAGTCCCATCACATTCACTTGGGTATGGATGTCCTTGGCTGCTGAAATCTGGCCCTTTAGTGCACAGGGCGACATAGACGTCCCCTGACCAGCAGTTCCAGAATGTCCCGTTTTCATATATTGCATCCATGCACACCTCCTAAAAATGAGGTACAGCAGGGCAAACATTTTCCAAAATAGATGTCATATATATAATATATACACATTCGTACATACATACCTTTATTCATGTGATGTCCAAAAATTTAAAAAAAATGTACACATTTATTACAAAATCGTAACAAAGACTGGACAGTGTTTTGCTCATTCTGGAAAGATGAAGCTCAGTTAACACACAACTTTGGAAATGAACCATAAGTTGTGGCAATATCTTTCTTCTAAACAGATATTCTTGCATTAAGTTGGCGAAAACTGCCTTTTCAAAAACTGAAGGGGAAGTAAAATGAAGGAAGCAGACCTTGCTCATCTTTCCAAATGAAATACGAGAAGGATCTTCACATAAAAATGCACAAACATTTTTTTTTATTACCAAGAGTGTTACAATGAACAATGCAAATTTTATTGTCTATTTTGTTTCTTTTTTCCTTTTTTTTTACATTTTGGAAACTAGTAAACTTTTGTCAGTGTACTTGCTTGTCTTTACAGACCCAAGCTTGTCTGCTGGCAAAAAAAATAAAATAAAAATAATATAAAAAAAAAATCCGACCCTGCACAAACTAAAGGAAAACAAATTATAAATTTAGTTGTTGGGCAGCACATAATTAGTAAGGCAGGACTTCAAATGGTGACCCTTTTGCATGAACCAATTGCCAGATCCTCAAAAGGAATTAAAACCGGGATGCCTGAGCCACTTCAGTTTTGCAGTTATGTTGAGTATTGTGCTGAGACAGCCATACCCCAAGACAAGAGGGAAGTCTTCAGAAGGCTTGCTGAGCAGGGTTGTAGTTGAAAGTGGATGGCAGATGAGGCCGTTCTTCTAGTTTATCATATTCCAGATGGAACTCCTACAACCCAAACAAAGGCAATTATTCTACTATGGGCCAACAAGTCATTAGAATGAATGATTTTGCACATTTAACCAAAAGAAAACACTGTTTCTTTCAAATAAATAAAATAAACTTTCCCTTAGGACAGCCTTTTAGAAATTAAATTTAATTTTAAAAAGTCACCATTTTCGACTTCCGGTGGTTAAGCGACGATGATGGCGGCTACTTTGTAGCCGTCCGCCTGAGACGGTGTCAGATCTGCGGAGCACAGCGTTCATCAGCTGGCCCGCAGTTCGAAATCCCCTTCCCAGGCGAAGGGAAGGGGTAGAGACTGCAGGAATAGAGGTAGAACCTCCGAACCTCCTCTGGATTTCTTCTTTGAGGGGGCAGAAGGAGTGCTCCCTCGGAGTTCCTGCCTTCTCCGCCTCTCAGCTGTCTTTGTTTCTTCGGAAGCAAAGTGAAACGCCGCTGCCATCTCCGCACTTAAAGTTTTCTGGTGAGTGATTTTTAAAGCGGACAGAACTGTTTAAAGGATTTTACTTAGAGTTAGAGATTTATTTTTTTTTTTAATTCTTTTCTTAGCCTATGCTGATTTTTTTTTGATTTTTTTTTTTTTTTTGGGCGGAAAGTGAGAGTGAAAGTAAAATGGCGCTTTGAAAGTTTTTTTTTTCCTATCTCCGGAAAGAAAAGACGGACTGAATGAAATGCATGTTTAGCATTGCTCTTTTTTTTCCCTTAAGTTTCTTTTTCTTTTTTCTTTTAAAGTGCTTTGGAAGTTTTTATTTTTATTGCACTTTTCTTGGTCTTTTTTCATTTGTAAAGATTTAAGCATTTTTTTTTCTTTTTAAGAAGAAAGAAAGAGAGACTATTTTTTTTTTTAAAAAATGGCGGAATATTCAAAGAATTTTTAGAAGGAGGGTAAAATTTACCCCGCAATTGTTTTTATTAGGTATTGTTACTGACTGTGATGCTAAGGAAGTTATATTGATGTTAAATTTGATTACAGCCACAAGGCTGCTAATAGGACAATATTGGAAGAAGGAATCTTTGCCTACTTTGCAAGAGTGGTTTTATAAAGTTTATTATTTGGCGGAAATGGCAAAGATTTCGGCTTTCTTAAAGGAGCAATCTCAAGAGAAATTTTTTGTTGTATGGGAAAAATGGATAAATTTTATACAATATAATCTGGATATGGAAAAATATCATTTAGCTTTTTTATAGCTTGTATAGATTGTTTTTTCTTTTCTTTTTCCGTCTTTTGTTTTTTCTTTTTTATCTTTTTTTTCTTTTCTTTCTCTCTCTCTTTCCTTTCTTTCTTTTTTCTTTTTTAAGTATTTTTTTATTAATGCTTACATATATTTTATTATTATAAGATGTAAAATTTGTTTAGATATTTTAAAATTTTAGATAAGCCTATATTCAGTTCTGGGAAGTTCGGGGAGGGGGGAGGGAGGGGTGGGCTTGGGAGGGATGGGGTGAGGGTTGATTTGTTTATATTTGTAAAACTTAAAAATTTTCAATAAAAAAAGTCACCATTTTCCAAAGTTTGCAATATATCTTACATTTATTTTATACCAACAACATGAGATCTAACTGCAGCTAGATTAAGTTTTTAAAAATGAAGAATTCAAATAGGAAAGATTCATGTTAGTATTATCAAAATACAATTCTGTTAAGAATGCATTTTCCTGTTCGATTTTCTGATTTCCTGCATATTTTTGCCAATGAATGTTATCAGAATTTAATGTGGGTCCTATAAAGAACTAAATGTTTGGAGCTTATTTCAAGAACAAGACAATCCAATATGATATGTGGCAGTATGAAAAGTAATCACACCCTTATATTAACTAACTGGTTATACCACCTTTAGCTGTAAATATTACTTCCTGCAATTGGTGATCAGTCTCTCACATCACTATATCCTATTGGCCTGCTTTTTATTTTTTTTTAAATAGAGAAATATTTTAAATTAGTGACATGGGAGTTTTCTAGCATGAAGTCCCATTTCAGATTGTGTCACAGTATTTCTGTGATGCTAAGGTCTGGATTTTGACTTCATCATTCCAACTCACTGAATTTATTCTCTTATTCCATTCCACTGTAGCCTTGCTTATTCATTAGGTATCACTGTCTTCCCTTGGCAGCCTGGCCCAGCACTGGGAGGCAGGGCATGTTAGTGGCAGGCGCACACACATGCACATAGCTCCATTTGTGCAAGCGGTGTGCACACAGAGATTCGCGCATAAGCGGAGGGCACTTGAGCATAGGGCTCTTGTGTTCACGCGCAAAGCTCCACTCATGAGCAGAGGGCGCTCATGCGCAAGGCTCCATTTGCATGAATGGAGCTTTGTGTGTGGGCACAAGCACTCTCCACTCGCACGAATGGAGCTTCATGAGTGCAAGGGCCTTCTGCTAGTTTGAGTGGAACTTTGTGTTTGTGCACGCACTTGCCCACCACTTGCATGAGTGGAGCTCTGCATGCATGCTTGCCCATTTCTCCCGAAGCCTGGTTTCAAACAGGGCACGCTCGGTAATGGGCCACAACCCAGGGGTTGGGGACTCCTGTTTTACATGACTCACCAATGGACAGAATTCTTTGTGGAATTCTGACCAAATTTTAAGGTTTCTGTAATAATGATAAATTCTTCAAATTCTGAGGCAGTAAAACATACTCAAACCATGGCAGGTCCACTTCCATGCTTGACAGCTGTGATATTTTTATTATAGAATACAGTATTTCATTTCTGCAAAGTGTAACTGAATTGACTGAACCAGGGAGGCAATTATTTTTCATATTTGTAATGCATATTGGATTATGTTATTTATGAAATAAAAAAATCAATAGCAAACAACCTTTAATTAACAATAATCCCCCATGAAGCTTGGATAATATTTAGCAGCAAAGATTTTATAAAATCCAAGATGGATGACTATTTTCTCACAGAATTGTATTTATAAGTCCAATCAACACTTTTAAAAATACCTAGAAAAAAACAATCAATAAAAATATTAATTGCTAGAAATTAGACAGAAGATGATGCTTTCTGAATGCAAACATTTCTCTCTTTACTTCGGAATCAGGGATGAATTTCAATAGTAGATAATACTTGTAGCTTAGGTTTGAACTTTGGAGTCCTTGCTGAAAGCTGATTGGCTCTGGTAAGATTTATTTTTGAAAAAATCTCTGGTTCATGAAAAAGAATTCCTCCCTATGTTCAGTGACTCTTGTGATAGATCAGTCAACAAGTAGTGAATGGTACATATTATGCAACTATTTGCAGTATTGTTTTTACACATTTGTTATGCAAAGAACAAAATCAATTCCATCTTTTCTTCCTAAAAGTAAAGTAAAACATTTATCTTGAGTCATACTTGAAGAAGCAGAGAAAGGTTCTAATTATAGTTGAATATCGCCCTATTAAGAGGCATAGCTCTGAATGGTAATTAAGTAAAATGGTTTTCACTATTATGTTGTTTCAAGAATATTACTAATTTTCTCCCCTTGACAATACTACATTTTTATTACTTACAATTTATTCATTTTATTAGCACAACTTATATGCCTCTCTATTTCCAGAAACTGAATGGCGTATGGTAGTAAGTAATAAAATAAAAAACAGAATTAAATTGATCCAATTACAATAATTCAATCCAATTGATCATTATTTAGGAGTAGTGTGATCTTATTAATTTCCAAATTGTTCTCAAAGAGCCATGTTTTTTACAATTCTCCAAAAATGTAGTAAGGAAGCAGTGGACCAGTATTCCTTAGAAGAAAGGAGGCCTTCATCAAGAAGGCTGAAATTCAAAGTCCCTGAAGATGGCATTCTCTTTCTCCCAGATATTGCCAGAACAGCAAATTCAGTTCAGAGATATCCTAGGCCCTAAGCCAGTGTTTCCCAAACTTGACAATTTTAAGGTATGTGGACTTCAACTCCAGAATTCCACAGACAGCTTTGCTGGCTGTGGAATTCTGGGAGTTGAAGTCCTCATGCCTTAAAATTGTCAAGTTTGGGAAACACTGCCCTAAGCCATTGGTGGCGAACCTATGGCATGGGTGCCAGAGGCGGCACTCAGAGCCCTCTCTGTGGGCACGTGCGCCATCGTCCCAGTCCTAGGCCTTCAGCTGGGTTTTATAAAATCTTTTCGCTTTAGGCCTCTGCCACCGTGTGCAAAAAAAAAAAAAAAAGTTCAATCAATCAGTCAATTTCAACTTCTTGTGGAGGGAAAAAAGATCTTGCAAAGTTGGAATTGACTGATTGAACTTTTTAGTCCCACCCAATCTGCAGTTACCACTGCAGCCACGCCCCAAATGAGTCACACCCAGCCAATGGGCCACACCCAGCCAATGGGCCACACCCACCCGACACCCGACGATGCGTAAGTGGGTTTTGGGTTGCAGTTTGGGCACTCGGTCTCTGAAAGGTTCACCATCATTGTCTTAAGCAATGTAAGGCTTTGTGACAATTCAGCATATTAACTTTCATCCAGAAAGTAACTAATAGCAACACAACTTCCACAATACTGCTGTGGCATGGACACTCATAACCACCTAATCCAAACTGTTTTCAAGGTAGCTCCATCTACAGTTAATTGTAATAATCCAGCTGGTGACAAAGTGGCAAGAACATGAGGATGCCATGGTTCTGACTAATGGAACACTTCAAAGAACTTCCAGGCATTGTTTATCCTAAAAAGTCTTTAATCAGGTAAATACAGTGTTGGCAGGGCATGAAGGATGCCAAGATCTGAATTCCCCTCCCCTGCACATAACATTCCAGCCTATTCCCCTCCTCTATTTTGCAGTCATAAATCACGTTCTCCAATCAGCCCAAAGGGGAAAGGTTCACTTCCTTCTGTAGCCAGTATTCCTTATCTTAATTACTCCCTACATACATTCTTTCTCCTCCCCTCCCAGCATCATCTAAGTTAACTCTAAAAATGCCAGACAGTTCTGCATATTTTGTCAAAGCAAGAATATCCAATATTAGCAGCGTTGACAGAGTGGCTACAAAAACTACTAATCGAGGAGAGACCACAATTAGTAAACAAGATAAAAATGTGCAGTTTCTCCTGGCCATAAAATACATATGTTCCAACTAGAAGTTATGATTCCAAGAGGACCAACAACTTGTAGGCCAGTTCTATCAAAGGCAATCCAGAATAAAAAATGAACTATTTGTATATTCTGTCAGTTTCAGTCATAACCATTCTCTCTTTGTAGGATTTAGTCCAAGACTATTTTTCCTCCTATTTTTCCCCTAATAATCCTCAAGCACTGATCAGAGCCTTTGGTCACTACATCTCTTGCCTGGCTGAGGTGGAGACACATAATGGCATATTATCAATATCAATTTATAACTTTTTTGAAATGCATTTTTTGTTGTTATTCTGTCTCTCACTGTTAAAATAAACCTACCATTAAAATTATAGACTGAACAATTCTTTGTCAGTGGGCAAACGTACAAAATCAGCAGGGGATCAAAAATTTTTCCTCTCACTGTAGGAAGGATGATACCCATTAAGGGCATGATAAATGATACCAAAAGCTGCTGAGAGGCCCATCAAAGCAAGTCATATCCCTCTATCCCGATCCTACCAAGGCAATATAGTTTCAATCTCACATGGCAGTCTGGCTTGAATCCTGACTGAAATTAGTTGATTTGATATAGCCAGGTTCTTCGTAACTATGGTTCAACCACTTCTAATAAATGTTTCTAAAAAGAGAATGGCCAATGGTGGTCTAAAATTGCTAGGTTGAGCTATGGTTTCTTGATATATCATCCCCTCTTTCAAGTTGGAGGCACCTTCACTCAAGGATGCATTTACCCAGCATTTTCTCACCTTCCTACATTCAGCAAGAAACTAATATATAGGTGGAAGCTAAGAGCACAGAGGATCCCCTTTACTTATTCAGGGCTCACAGGTGCAAATCAATCCCTGGTAACTTCACAACACAAAGCTTCTATTACCTCAGCTGAATTTGCTCATCCAGTATCTGTTTAATTTTTTTAAAAAAACCAAAGCAAATTGAAAACAAAAAAACAAGCTTCATTTACTAGGGAGTCATGACATGTTTCTGACCCATAGAAATAAAAGATCAGTTACAGTTGAAATAAAACACAATTAATGGGAACTCACCCAAGGCAACTGACATTAAATAAATTTAAAACATTTTTCTTCTACCATATATACACCTTCATTCACCTGGTATGAATTTTTAAGTCTCAATAAATAGAGAAGCCCGCAGAATAGCAGTAATATTTTGCAATTATCCATGTATTTTCTAAACTTCAAGCAAGTTTACTAATCCAAAAGATTTCATACTCCCGAATAAGAATTTGTAATGAAAAAACCCTATAGTAATAAAGAACATGCATTTTAAAGATCTATCTAAATATATATATATATATATATGTAGGTCTTTGGTTATTCGGGTTTTCTCCTGTGTCAAAGTGGAAGTGTCTTGGCGACATTTCGACGAAGTCTCATTCGTCATCTTCAGGCTGGTGTTTTTGGCTTCGTGCTTCTAGAACGAAGCCGAAAACACCAGCCTGAAGATGACGAATGAGACTTCGTCAAAACGTTGCCAAGACACTTTCAGTTTGACGCGGGAGAAAACCCGAATAACCAAAGACCTACATACAAACACCCGTGAAAACCTCAGAAAACAAATATATATATAGATATATATACCTTTGCTACTTTTCTCCAGTTAAGACAATCAAAGAAATAGTATGTTCCTCTCTCATATGTATTGGTTTTCATTGTTGGCTCCATGCCTGGTGCTCTGGTAATCCATACTCTCTCTTCTTTGTGGTATCTCCAGTCTCGGTTAAATCTTTTGTCATCCAATCAGGAAAAAGAAGATTCTATTAGTTGGACTGATTTAAATTTTTTAAAAAGTAAAATTAGAATTAACAAAATACCTTTGCCTATAAAACTATATTATGTGCTTTTATGTGCACATAACTTATAAAAATATTTTTATACTGTAATTTTCGTTGTAGCAAATAACCTAAATTAAATGGTAGATTAATTGAAGGAAATATTTACGTATTCAAAGTGAAGTTGCTTGCCTTACAGTATTTGGGAATTTTATAGAAAAAAGAAATACTTATCAAAACTGACCATTAATAAATAGAGAAGCCTGCTGAATAGCAGTCATTTTTTGCGATTATCCATAATAATCTTTTCTAAACTTCAGACATGTTTACTAGTCTAAAAGATTCCATACTCCTGATGTAAGAGTTCTGCACCATGTAAAGCATGAGAGAAGAAAGTCCAACTGGAAGCTTTTTTTTTTTTTTAAAAAAATGAATAGTTGTTGCTTGAACTTCCCCTTCAGATAGCATACTATGGTTATTTGTTTTTAAAACGGAAGCTATTCATAATTTTAAAAACCATATATTTTCTTATAAAATCCACTAAAAAATGACATACAGCTCTACTGCTGCTAATAGTTGTAATACATCTCCTCCATTCATATAATAGAGATAAAAGAGTAGATCTTCCCCATAGCGACCAAGCTTTATTGCAGCCAACTGAAAAGGAAAAAAAAAGACTTTCAAAATCCAATGTAAGTTTTATTTATATTGATAATAGATGATTAACAAATAAAGATCTCAGAAATGAATTAATTCTTTGATGTTACACATATACATCCATGTAGTTGGTAAGAGAGAGAATGGTTGCCAGCATTTTTAATTGGCTTCCCTAAATTTTCCCAAATGTTTATTCTGACATCTACATCCAGTAAGAATGGTAAAACAAACCAGGAATTCTCTGCCTATTAGCATTAATCCTAAACCAGAAGTACTATTTCTCAATAAACCAGAATTATGACCATACATACAACTTAAAATTCTTGACAGTTAGGAGATTGAAACCAAACCTCTTAGTACTGATATAATAACAGACAAACCAATGGTAAAGACTTCACAGTCTGTTTAGCTATTCTTCTGTCAGGCATAACTAAGTAGAGGTGACTAGCAGCCTCCATACTTGTATTATATTTGAACAGGATCAAAGAGAATGTGGATTATAAACCACTGTCCAGGTGTATATTTTTCTTGTAGGACAATAATATAGTCATTAGAGTGCGAAGTATCCTATTATAATTTACCTATTTAGGAGAACTGAGTGAAGAATTAGAAAAAATTTACTTTAGAATTTGTTTTCTATCATATGCTTATAATTCTGTATTCTGTATGTAATTAGAATTCTGGCTTTTGATAAAATAAATCTTCTGCAAATAAAATTGTTTTGAGCATTCCATCAGACTGCCATTTTTTTTTACAATCATGCACACTTCCAAAACATAGTAACACTTTTTCAGAGAAATACAAAAACTGTACAATATATAGATTGATTATACTGTTAAAGTAGAATTTATTATGTTAATAAAAATGTCCATCTATCCTCCCGAAATATAAACTGAGAACTGTAGTGATTTTATTTAATAAAACTTTTAAAATATGTAAAACTATTTATTAAGATACCTTATATTTTAAACAAACTTTTCTAAAATATAAAATAAATGCATACTATAATGGAGAAATGTGTTTCAGAAGGAATAATAATATTTAGCAATTATATAGATTTTTTTTAGCATTTTATATATCTTCAACTGAAAAATAACTCATTAAATTAATATTACTGTAGAATGACACTTCATTCAAGCAATCTGATGTTAATACCACTATATATACAGATTGTCAAAAATATAACAGCCTGAGAATTTTTCTTTAGTTCTATTGTATTCTGTTAAGGGACCATAAAGTATACTCACCTTATCCCTAATGTGAATATTTGTTAAGTATTCAGAAGGAACATGGAAGTCTGGATAAGGGAATGAGACGTGATTTAATTCTTAATCCATGATACTGATTTTCAAGAATATTAAGAGTATAGTAAGTTAAATATAGATATATTAATCGATCAACCTTACCTATGTCTTGAGGTCGACAGGGTGAAGAAGCCCAAGGTGATGCAAATTTGGGGTAAAGATTTCTGTACAGAAAAAAAAGATACTTAACTGCGAAAGATTATTCCTTCCCAAAATGCTGTTATTTCAAATACAAAAACAGAGGCTGGTTTGTACACCGTCTAGCTTAAATAAATTACCTGGATCTAGATTAATACCAAGAATTAGATAATACAATAAAATAAACACAAAACATTGTTTAGAAAATGTGAGAAAACATTTTAAAATATGCAGTACTAGAAGAAATCTGTGATGATCTTAAACAATATAGAATATTATAGCAATATTTACATAACATTAAATTAGAACCTAATGCCCAGTATACAAAGATATGCCAACACGTCTTAATTATTTTCACTAATTTCTATATACTGTAATCCTCTCTTATCAATACTACCAATACTTTATTAATAACAAGTAATTTTGTTAAATCCAAAGTAACCCAGACGAAGCAATTAAATATAATTCTACATTTTGGTGTAATGTTGTCATTGAAGAAATGATGCCATTATTCATTTGCCTCAATACAACATAATGCCAACTTTTGGCAATCATAATTGTCACAAATAATGTCATATTGTTTTGATTGTAACTGAATTAATATTTCAATATTTGAAAAATGTATATGCTTGCATTAACTATCAAAACATGAATGAAATTTGTGTTTATTAATCTGATATAAATTTAATTGGATCAAAGGAATGCTGCAAGCATACCATACATGTGCAAAACCTTTGATAGTCTCATTTTATTCATAAAATGATAAAATATGAGCACAATAATTTTTGCTGGGCTCACAAATGGCTGAGACACAGAAAGTGCCCATTAATAGCTTCATTTTAACTTGGAAGAAAGTCTCCAAGTGCTACAGGACTATTGCTTGGGTCCTGTACTATTCAATATTTCTATTAACTAACTTGGATAAAAGAGATGGGAAAATACTTAGCATGTTTGTAGATCATACAAAGCTAGAATGACCAGAGCCAGAGAGTAAAAACTACAACTTAGATGCAATATTACAAATAACTTCCTGACTGAATATGTTGTCAGCTAGTGAAAAAGACTGCATACATGACTTGGTGATTTCTTTTTCCCTACAAATCTTCAGAGACTACATAATCAACTGTTAAAAAATGTTCTAGTGGATTATGCACTGAGTAGGGAGGTGGGGTGGCTCTGTGGTTAGAATGGGGGAATGACTATTGGCAAGCCCAAGTTCGAGATCTGAGTACTGCAGAGCAGGATAAGCTCCCACCACTTGCTCCAGCTTCTGCCCACCTAGCAGTTCAAAAGCATGTAAAAATGCAAATAGATGAACAGGTACTACTTTAGTGGGAGGTGAGCTTCCATTTGGGCATCCCCTGGCTAATACCTCAAGACACGAAAGTGTTTTGGTAGCTGCTTCTGAGTCCCATCGACTGCCAAACATCTACTGTCTCTGATGCAGTAGACTCTTGGCTTTCTGTAAAATTGCCATTTGCTAAATACATAATGCATTGAGTAGAAAGTTAAGCTAGATGATTTCTAAGTTCCCCACCAAATATTTTGATTTTATGTTTGGGGATTTAAAAACCTTTCTGTGATCAGGAATTACATGGCTGAAAATCACACAAAATGTAATAAAGATGTAAAGCAATATTACTGTGGTTGAATTCCCAGCTTTCCCTAATCCCGTGTGGCGAACCTATGGCACGCATGCCACAGGCGGCATGCAGAGCCATTTCTGTGGGCATGCGCACTGCTGCAGCCAGCAGCTCATGCAGGTCCATTAGGCTACTGCCGCCCAGAGCGGCAGTCCCGCCCAGCACAAAGAGGTGAAGCAGCTGGCTAGCAAGCCCTGTGTAGAGGTGGTAGAGCACGCCCACGCCCAGCAGGCAAAAGGCCACCTCAAGCGGGGAAAGCCAGATCCCCATCGGCATCACGGCCGCCCAGGCCCAGCAGAGATAGGGGTGAGGCACGCAATCCTGGCAGGGACTGGGGGGCCATGGCGCCAATAGAGATCCGGCTTTCCCCACTCAGGGTGACCTTGCTGGGCATGGGTGTGCTCTACCACCTCTACGCGGGGCTTGCTAGTCAGCCATTTTGCCTCCTTTGTGCTGGATGGGCCAGGCACTCTGGGTGGAGGCGGCAGCCTAATGGACCTGTGCGAGCTGCTGGCAGCGCCAGCCTGAGGCATAAGGGGGGAGGGGGAGGCAAGCGGTACAGACTCCCCGTGCATGAGACTGGGATTTCCCCCCGCTATTGAATTTTCGCTACCAGACTGTTTAACTTGATGCAGAAAGAAAAGGATATACATTCTACATCAAATAAATTTTTAAGAAGTTAAAGAGTTTAGCAGTGAAGATTCTCCTCCTCCCCCATGCCTTGGGCCGGCGCTGCCAGCAGCTTGCTCAGGTCCATTAGGCTGCTGCCTCTGAGAAGAGTGGTGAAGTTTTGTGCCACCTGGCCAGGCAAAGAGCAGGTCAGGGGATGGTGGCTGGCTGGCTGGCTGGGGAGAGGGAATCATGGCTGCTTGGGGGGGGGGGATTTGCTAAGCCTCCGGGCAGCAGCATTGGCAGCTCCCCCACCCGGACCATTTCCTCGGCTCCATTACCGGCAGCAGCTCCCTCAGCAAGTGCTCCACAGTCCTCACCATCAAGGTTTCATTGCACAGGCTTCCTGGAGCTGAGAAGTGCAGTTACCATGCCGCCAGGCGAGTCTGGTGGGCGGCATTGCCTTCCGCTTTCCCTGCTGCAGCATTGGCTGCTAGTGTTGCCCTCCTCTTAGGTGATTGGTTGGCGGCCATGCCACAAATGGGGATTGATCATCCCCCAAGCCCCACCACTGGCAGAAGAGAAGGAAGAACAGGGAGAAGAGGGAAATTGGCTAAGCCGGCCAGGCACTGAAACCCCGACAAAAAAACTGAAGTCTCTTTGTGAGCCGACCTAGCCCGCATCTGCCTTGCTCTCCACAGCACGCTGCAGCTGATCTGAGGCATGGAGAGCACGGCTGATGGGTAAGCACATAGCAGACACGCTGTTTTTGGTGGCGGCGCTTCTGATCAGCTGTAGCACGCCATGGAGAGCCTGGCTGATATGGACAAGGCAGGAGCGCACACAGACTCCAGTTTTTTCCTTTGACAGTGGTAGGGTTAGGGTTGCACTCAAACAATAAGAGCTCGGATGGAGCTGAGGAGCTGCTGGTGGCCGCTTGAGTGGGGAGGACAAGCTTTGCTGCTGCTGCTGCTGGGCTACGCCCTGCTACTGCCTCCCAAACTCCACCTTCACCACTGGGTGAAGCAGTGGCGGGGCACTCCATTCTGGGGGGAAAGCAGTGGCGGCCTAACCCTAACCCCTGCCCTGCCCCCTGCCTCGCCTCACCCCGCAGGACAAGCCTCCTGCCCACCGCCCCACCTGCCACAGTCCCTTTGGATCTCTCCCAACCCTGCCAGGCCCCCACAGGCATCCCTCCCCACAAGCAACATCAAGGTGGCCACGCCCACCCAGTCTGCCGTGACCACTGCAATCATGCACACCCAGTGGGCCACATCCACCCGGCGATAAATAAATTGCTTTTGGTTGCAGTTTGGGCGCTTGATCTCTAAAAAGTTCGCCATCACTGCCCTAATCTGTCCATTTAATGGAGTTTTGAGAAATGCAAAGGCAATTTTTTTTTTTAGCTTCTCTGGACTCCAACCTGCAGAAAACTTGTATTATTGGTCAGTTAACTATTAAATATCAACTGCACAAAGTTAGAGATTTCAGAAAGTATATGTGACTTGTGGAACATAAACTTTCCCCCATTATATGTAAATTGGATTATATAAGCACTCTTTTCTCAAATTAATGAAAACTAAGCATTTAATCATGGTGCCATAATGGTTAGAATGCAGTATTGTAGGCTAATTCTGCCAGAAGTTTGATTCTCACCAGCTCAAGGTTGACTCAGCCTTCCATTCTTCCAAGGTCAGTCAACTAAACCCAGATTGTTATAAGATTGTATAAACCGCTTAGAGAGGGCTGTAAAGCACTGTGAAGTGGTATATAAATCTAAGTGCTATTGCTATCTGTATAGGAATGAGGGTGGATTTGATTTAAATCATGATTTAAATGATTTAAATTATGATTTAAATCACTAGTAAAAAGGCTTGATTTAAATCAACTCGATTTAAATCATAATTTTTAAAGAGCAACTGTTATCTCTGTCCTGCAGCGGCTCCTCCTCTGACCCGCTATTGACTCACTGATGGTCCCATTCACGTTAATGGGACAGCTGGTGATGCGGCAATGACACAACAAGGTGAGGGACATGGCAGGCAGCAGGTGAGTGGATGCCCGCTAACAGGCACTGCCATGATGGATCTGAAATGACAGGTGCTCTTTAAATATAAGGACTCATTCTTGCTGGTAATTAGAATCTTTAATATTATTATTTGCAAACAAAATGAAGGTTTCCTATTTAGAATAATAAACTGTCAGGTTAGTAAAACAGTGATATCAGAACTGAATTTAGGTTAATCACACATACTGTGTTTCCCCCAAAATTAGACCTACCTCAAAAATAAGATCTACCCTGATTTTTTGGGGGGTGAGCCTAATATAAGCCCTATCCCCAAAATAAGCCCTAGTTAGGACCCAGTCCACTCCGTCCCACCTCACTGCCACAATGGGGTAGGAGAGCGTGTGTCACGACGCTGCTGCCACAACAAGGCAAGGCAGGTGAGGGAGGAGATGGAGCTGTCCCATACCTACTTATTTCAGGGCCCCCCAGCCAGGTCACTCCTTGCTCGGCGACCTTCCCTTTCACTCCCCTCCCAAGCCAGACTATCATGCTATGGAGGTTGGGCGTGATAGGCCTGGTCCCCCTCTGCCGTTTCGGAGCCAGGGGAAAGTGATGGAGAAAGGCTCTGCTGCCGCTGCACTTCACACTTTGCCCAACAGATCATCTGCCCAACAGCAGCCTCCTCCTCCTACTCCACCAACTCTCCTGTGGCCAGAGTTTGTGGGACTAAAAAAAGTTCAGTCAGACCTTCCAACTTCTCAGGGACAAAAAAAAAAAGATCTCGCGTTTCCCTGCAGGAGAGAAATGCGCCAGAGCTATAAAGCAGGTTAGTTAAGAAATGCTTTCGGGAAGAGAGAGGAGCTGGGCAGTGGTGCGCCAAACTCTATTTCCAGAATGGAAAAAGGAGACATGGGGTGATGTGGGTGGCAAGCAAGTGCTCTTCTCTGCTCTGCATTGCTGTGCAGAGCCACTCTCCTCCCCGTTCTCTTTTCTCTCTAGTGGTGGCGATGGAGGGGTGGTGGAAGAAGGCGGCAGGGGAGGTTTGTGCTGCCCAGTCACAGTGCAAGCATGGGAGAGTTGGTGGTGGATGCCGCTGGGCAGATGCTCTGTGGGGGTGACACACGAAGAAAGCACAAAAAATATTCCCCCAAAATAAGACCTAATGACACTTTTGGAGGCAAAAATAATGTCAGACTGGGTCTTCCTTTTGGGGAAACATGATAGTTGGAGAACTATTCAAATTCTTTTATTTAATTAAAACACTTAGAGCCTGGTACAGATGCATTTGTCTTCAAATCATACAGTTTGTAGTGTACATAGATTTGCAAAACAATAGGTTAAAAGAATATTCCTGAACTTTTTTTTTATGATTTATCTCATGGTTACTGTGAAATTGTGTAAATGCATCAATGCAGTGCATGTTATCTTAGCTTGTAAAGCTTGGATTCATTGAACGAGTTACAAAATATATTGCCTCATGCTACATAATTAAGCTCCATTTCATGCTGAATAAACTAAATTATTAATGTATCTTAAATAGAAAACTATATTTAGATAGAGTTTTACTCCAAAAAGCATTTTATTAAAATAAATTTGATAAAAATAAAAAAAATCTGATTTAAATAAAAAAGAAATCATTTTATTTATTTTTAAAAAAATCATTGATTATTATTCACCAATAGGAATATGATATAAGACTGACTACTTTTCCATTCCAGAACAGCTTATTTAACTATTTTAATTGGTTTTTTCCATATACCAATATGATTAGGCAATTCATACTGTTATCTGATAAGTAATATGAAATTCAATGTAAACCAATAAAACAAATATTAAAACTAAATATGAAAGATGTAAGACTTTATAAAGTTTTTCTGCAATGCAAATAATCATAGACTATACTGTCAACAGCTGCAGAGATATATCATAAATTTGTGGTTTTTCTGATGTGTTAAATTATTTTTATGAATATTATTATTCATAAAATAATATTATTATTCCTGATTTGAATAATATATGAGCCGAGGTGGCGCAGCAGTTAGAGTGAAGTACTGCAGGCCACTTTAGCTGACTGTTCAGCAGGTCAGCGGTTCAAATCTCACCGGCTCAAGGTTGACTCAGCCTTCCATCCTTCCAGGGTAGGTAAAATGAGGACCCAGATTGTTGGGGGCATATATATATATATATATATATATATAATATATATATATATATATATATATATATATATATATATATGTCTTTGGTTGTTCGGGTTTTCTCCCGCGTAAAATTGGAAGTGTCTTGGCAACGTTTCGACGAAGTCACATTCGTCATCTTCAGGCTGGTGTTTTTAGCTTCTTGCTTTGAGCAGCAATGTGTGGTTTTAGCTGTTTCTTCCTTTTAACTGCCAGTGAGGGTATGAACTGATTGGATGGGAGCTTGGCTGTGTTCTGATTGGGTGGAGGTGTGTTCTGAATGGTTAGGGGCTTGGCTGTGCTCTGATTGGCTGGGGGAGTGTTCTGTTTGGTTGTGCTCAGGTTAGTCTGAGTTGCAGAGGGGTTTAAGATTTTGGGGTTAGGGAGTCGTTTGTCAATAAGGGCAGGTTTCCAAATGGCTGGTAGGCGGGAGGTATCATCTCGCTTGTTCATGCTGTGTGGGCGTTTTTCTATCTCGATGGCTTCTCTGATTATTCTGTTATTAAAATGTTCACTTTTGGCAATGGTTCTGGTATTTTTAAAGTCAATTTCATGTCCTGTGGCTTTAAGGTGTTGGACCAGGGAAGATGTTGGTTCCTCTTTTTTGACTGAGTTCTTATGTTCTTCAATGCGTGCACTTATTCTTCTGTTGGTTTGTCCGATGTATGTGGTGGGACAAGTGGTGCATGGGATTTCGTATACTCCTTGATTTTCTAATTCAATTTTATCTTTGGGGTTTCTAAGGATGGTGGATATTTTTCTGTTTGTGCAGAATGCTGTTTTGATGTTGTGTTTATGGAGGATCTTACTGATTCTGTCTGTGGTGCCTTTTATGTATGGGAGGAGGGCTTTGCCGTTTTCTTGTTCTTTGTCTTGGATTTTAGTGGGGGTTTCTTTTTGGATTAGGTTTGTAATCTTATTTCTATGGAATCCATTGGATGTTAGTACATTGGTGAGAGTCTACACACTCTCACCAATGTACTAACATCCAATGGATTCCATAGAAATAAGATTACAAACCTAATCCAAAAAGAAACCCCCACCAAAATCCAAGACAAAGAACAAGAAAACGGCAAAGCCCTCCTCCCATACATAAAAGGCACCACAGACAGAATCAGTAAGATCCTCCATAAACACAACATCAAAACAGCATTCTGCACAAACAGAAAAATATCCACCATCCTTAGAAACCCCAAAGATAAAATTGAATTAGAAAATCAAGGAGTATACGAAATCCCATGCACCACTTGTCCCACCACATACATCGGACAAACCAACAGAAGAATAAGTGCACGCATTGAAGAACATAAGAACTCAGTCAAAAAAGAGGAACCAACATCTTCCCTGGTCCAACACCTTAAAGCCACAGGACATGAAATTGACTTTAAAAATACCAGAACCATTGCCAAAAGTGAACATTTTAATAACAGAATAATCAGAGAAGCCATCGAGATAGAAAAACGCCCACACAGCATGAACAAGCGAGATGATACCTCCCGCCTACCAGCCATTTGGAAACCTGCCCTTATTGACAAACGACTCCCTAACCCCAAAATCTTAAACCCCTCTGCAACTCAGACTAACCTGAGCACAACCAAACAGAACACTCCCCCAGCCAATCAGAGCACAGCCAAGCCCCTAACCATTCAGAACACACCTCCACCCAATCAGAACACAGCCAAGCTCCCACCCAATCAGTTCATACCCTCACTGGCAGTTAAAAGGAAGAAACAGCTAAAACCACACATTGCTGCTCAAAGCAAGAAGCTAAAAACACCAGCCTGAAGATGACGAATGTGACTTCGTCGAAACGTTGCCAAGACACTTCCAATTTTACGCGGGAGAAAACCCGAACAACCAAAGACCTATATACAAATACCCGCGAAAACCTCAGAAAACATATATATATATACACATACATACATACATACATACATACACACACACACACACACACACACACACACACACACACACAAACATACATTGCTTACTGGTGTATACCACTTAGAGAGTGCTTGCACTTAAGGCGATATATAAGTCTCATAAATAAATAAATTTATTAAAATCTTGTTGAATTACATATTAACATCCTGAAGCTAACTGCATAAATGCGTATTTTACAATAATTACATTTTTAGTTTACTTTAGTACATATTTTGGAATATTCAAAGATACTATAGCTAGTAATTTATATTAAATAATGATATTAATTTGAAAACACTTACTCGGGAGAATTGAGATTGAGACCTAAAGTTGTCAAGTCACTTCCTAATGCAAGATGTACCATGCCAGGGTCTGTCTCTGCTGCCCTGATGAATGTTAACAAACCAATCATTCCAAACTGGTCTGTCACCATCCCTTGTGGAATGTTGGTAACCCGACCTACAGAAACATAAATCAGAGTATTATCTAAATAGAGAATCAGTGTCTTCTGAAACATTAGTAAAAAACAGCAGGTTTAACAAACATACCATCAGGTAACACCTGAATCCCCTTTTTCTGCTGGTTATTGTTTTGCGTTGTTGAACTTTTATCTCCCGGAAATTTTGGACCATCTGCACTAGAAGATGTTTTGCCTGATGTATTCAAATTCTTAAGCGGTATAAAGAAAAAAAAATCAGTATAAAAATATTTTTAAAAATACATGACCAGCTAATTTAGTTATCTGGTGTTTACAAAAGAGCATCCTCCAAGAATTCTCTCCCTTACGTTGGTATATTTATATAGACTTGTGAAGTGAGATCATTCATGTATCAATACATTATTAGTAACAAACAGCTTGTCCATTATGTACAATTCAAGCGGGACAGCAGATAAAAAATATTGTCTGGGATCACTAATGGTTTTAACGACAATAAACCTCAGTCCTCCCAATATTAAAGTTCTGTTCAGGGAGATGGTGTACAACCATTTGACATATAGGTTTCTAATCTAGGTTCTGTGCAAAGCCATGCACAGCTAAGGTAGACATGCCAAACATGTCTTAAATTCTTAAGTATGATTGCGGACTCTGAAGACCTTAGATTTACATGGGTTATATCTACTAACAGTACTGTATTAGAACTTAAAATTAAGAAATATTAATATATTTATTTGACTTTGCAGACCCCAAAAGGGTCTTGGGGACCCCCAGAAGTCCCCAGTCCATACTACGAGAATTGCTATCCTAAAGTATTTCTCTGAATGCTTCCCTTTAACCAGAAATGAAGCAAATGGAAATTGGGCAATTTCCATTAGCAAATATAGCACTGCATTTGAAGAATGTTGTCCCTAATTTTGCTAATTACTTGTTATTTGATATGGATGGACAAGAAGGACTAGTTTGCTTTATTTATTTATTAATTTCCCATCATTATTTTTACAAATAACTCAAGGCGGCAAACAGGTCCAACACACTTTCCTCCTCCTATTTTCTCCACAACAACCTTCTGAGGTGGGTTGGGCTGAGACAGAGTCAGCGGCCCAAAGTCACCCAGCCGGCTTTCATGGCTAAGGCTCTCACCCATGATCTAACTGCCTTCTTAAAGATAAATACATAGATACATACATGTGTGTGCGCGTGCGTGTAAATTGTTCTCTCTTTAAATTAAGGCAAACTTACAGGTTTACTGTCATCATTACTTGATGTTGGATCTTTGTAGTTGGAGCCTGGTAATGCTGGAAAATCTTCATTGTGTATTGAAAAGTCCTGGGTTTGCTCATTTGTTGGTTTTGTTACCATCCCAACTATATTGGAAGATAAATACACCACACTGAATTATTTAAATTGTAATAGTTTTCATTTTCATTTTATTTCAATTTATTTGTATTATTTTATTATTATAGATTTTAATTTTCATGTTGAAAGTAAGCCTCAAAATATTTGTAAATTAAAAAGACAGAAATTGAGTAAATAAAAATGTACAATTTGATAGTTAAAGTTTTTACTAGCATATGATTTTACTTTAATAAATATAGAAAAAGTAATATCCATTTCAAACCTTCTGTTTGTAGAAACAATAATGAATTTAGATACATAGATTGACTATTTAGTTTTTTATTTCTTTGAACAGTCAAAAACATTATTATAATCTTTAGCTATGAAGCCAACAAGATTTTTAAAGAAAAATATACAATTAATGTAAATGTATGAATTAGGTTTTAAAAAGCACTAGCAGTTAATTATTTTTCAAAATGGTTTTGTTATATTTGTTACATTTTTACTCAAATATACTCAAATCATTTGTAATATTCCAAATTGCACTAATGATTTATAATAACTAAATACAGGCATAAAACTGTAAGAAAATAAATAAATAGTTGAACTACTAAAACTAAGTATATCTAAGACCAAAGGTATAGTTTGTGCATGCATATGGGATATACAAGATAGAGCTGGACAAAAGGCTATATTAGCCTAGTCTCCTTATGCTGAACCTTTGTAAATTCAGAGGACTGTGTGATTCTTATTCTGAAATTAGCTTGTTCCTTATTCTAAGTCTTTGCCTTCTGTTACTGTTCCTTGAGGAGAAAAAGAAAAACTATTTATATTTACCTTTTAGTATTTCATATGCTTTACAATAGGATCTTAATATATTCTGGGCTCCTACTTTTATCACCACTAGTCAATATAGCTATGCCATGATAACATCTAGATTTCACTCCTATTGTTTCTCTAACAAGTCCCTGCAATTTTTTGGGCACAATTTCAGAAGTGGTTTGCCATTGCCTCCTTCCTAGGGCTGAGAGAGAGAGTGACTGCCTCAAAGTGACTCAGCTGGTTTTGGGCCTAAGGTGGAAACAGAACTCAGTTTTCTGGTTTCTAGCCTTGTGCCTTAACTACTACACCAAATTAGTTTTCTAGGTGCTGGGGTCACCTTTAAAGCCCCACATGGCTTGGGGGTGAGTTACTTACCAAACCATTTCTTCTTTCTACGTGTCCTACATTCCAGGAGAAGAGACATGCTGGGCACCATCGGCCAAGGAGTGTCAGACAGCAAGATCTTGAAAAAGATCCTTTTATGCCATGGCATCTGACTCTGGAACATCATTCCTTATGAGATTAAGTTGGCCTCCACCCTGCTGGCCTTTTGTAAGGCCTGAAGACATGGTTCAAACTTGAGGCACCAGGTATGTGACAGAGCCCATGCCCTGGTTGTGTTGAAGGTTTTTTATGATTCTCTGACAGCTGTATGTTTTATTTTTGATACATTTTTAGAAATGTATGTATATATTTTTATTTACTTAAAAGTTGGGTGCTACCCAGAGTTACGCATATGATGGGAAACCGTATAAACCAAATAAATAATTGGGTTATGAAAATTTTGAGAAAAGGTGAAAAGAATAAAGATACTAAAATAAACCCTCACCATTTTATTCATGTCTGTTCCAAATTCCACTCAGTTCTATGTGTTTACTATCGGCAAACAGATTTTGGGTGGCAGCTGAAAAACCTACAGACAATTTTCTTTTAGGAACCTTCATTTCTCAGGCAAAAGACAGATTAAGTAATAACAACATGAGGCCAAAGTTTAAGTTCAGCAAGAGCTGTTTTTTATGCCTAAGATATCATATGATCAAATTCTGCAAAGCCACCAGATTCACACTCACCATAGGGTGCCCTTCCAGCTAGAGGGTTTATCAATGGAGTTGGATTTCCACTTCCTTCCCTTCTATTTCTGTCTGCTAGTGCTGGAAAATCTGAAAGATCCAGTCCAGTAACATTTTCACTGCCATCTAAAAGAAAATACATGTTGTTTTCAAGTTTATAAACGTCCAATAATATATTTGTAGAACCATGCATACATATCATAAACAGACAATTCTGTAGAAACTTAATGATAATTATATTCCATTTCTTCCAAGTTACGATACTTGTAGCTTGGGAGAAAGATGGGTTAAAGGAGAGAGAAGGAAAGAATAAGTAGCGTTTTAGTCCTCTAAAACAAGCTTGAAAGGTGAGTATTACCTTTTGTGTAAGCAGGTGAACAAAAAAGATGCACATGATATGGAAAACAGGAGAGTTCAAATATGCTTATATCTGCTAGAAATCTATCTATGCCAAGAATCAGAGGTCCAACAAATCCCTGTCCTATCTTGCTGCCAACTTCACTTGTCAGAAGATGGTATAAAGAACAAAGGGGTATGATATCCCAGATATAATCCTTACCAACAGAGAGGAATTGAAGAAGTGAAGGTGACAGGAACTTTGAGAGAAAATGGCCATGTTATCCTTGAGTTCATGATATCAAGGGGAGGAGGAATAGAGAAGAGTCAGACTTGTATACTGGATTTCTTGAATTCAGACGGAAGGTAGGAGGGATCAGGCTTGAAATTCTGAGGAGAAAAGTGTCTGGAAAGAATGGGAAATCCTACTAAACAAGATACCGAAGGCACAATTACAAACAATTTGTACCAGAAGGAAAAACTGGAGACATCTTAAGAGTACATGTGGATACATTTATACTTTCTAAATGTTGAAAAGAAAAAGGGATATGGATAGAAAGTGGAAGGGATGGCAGTAAGGAAGGATACAAGTCAGTTACCAGAAACTGTAGGGAATGTGACAGAAAGGCTAAAGTGCAGAATGAATTGAGACTTGCAAGGAAATACTTCAAACAACAAAAAGGGAATGGGTTATACATCGGAAACAAAAAGGCAAAGTTAGGTCTGCTGTGAGCAAGATAAATTGGTGATGGATGATGGAGAGAAGGCAGAACATCTTAGCTCATATTATGTATGTGTCTTCTTTCAGAAGGGAAATTAGGCCTTCATTATGTCTATATTAGATTGGAGTGTAGTATCAAATAGGCTCTGTGCTGGACAATGGGCTTTTCAACATTTTTTAATGACTTAGATGAAATTGAGGGAATGATGATCAAAATTTTAGATATCACAAAACTAGAAGGAATGGCTAATACTTCAGAAGAGAAAGAGAAGATCTAAACAGGTTTGAACACTGAATAAGAAATAAAGAGGATGAAATTTAACAGGAAGAAATGTAAAAACTTGCATCTGAGAAAGGCACAAAAATGTAAGATGGGAAAGTTTCATGTGAAAAAGACCTAATAGATATATTACATAAGCTAGCTGTGTGATGAAGTGTGGCTGAAAAGGTAAATGCTATTTTGGAATGTATTAACAAGAGCATGTAGTCCAGATCAGGAGAAGTACACTATTATATTTTGCACAGTTTTGGGCGTCACAGTTTTTTTAAAAAAGACTGATATATGGGAGTGCATCAGAGGACACTAAGATGATGAAAGTACCAAGCCCTGTGAGGAACAGTTAAAAAAAACTGTGCATGTTTAGCCCACAGAAGGGAAGACTGAAGTATATAATAACAGTCTTCAGGTTCCTAAAGAGGAAATCTATTATCCCATATTCAGACACGATCTGAATCAATGACTTGAAAGTACTGGAAAGGAGAGTCAGATTAAATATTACGAGAAATTCCCTGGCAGTAAGAACTGTGAACCAGTGGAATAGTTGCCCCAGTAAGTTGTATGTTCTCCTCGCTGGAGGCAGGATAAGCATCTGTCTGAAATGCTTTAGCAGATCCTGCTCTAAGCAAGCATAGGAATAAATGACCTCAATTATCCTTTCCAAATCTATGAAAACCAACAAATAGTTGTAATCCAAAAACTACACGATATACACTCTAGGCCTCTCTGTTCCTGACTAGTGTGAGAATATCTACTGGTTGGGAATAAGCAGACACTTTTTTTGCTTAAATTGTAGGTTTTAATTGTAATTTGAATTTGCCTTTGGTTTTATTATTGTATACTGCCCAGTAACATAATCAAATGAGCTGGGCAGCTATATAGGTATCTAATAAATAAATCTAAAAAGCCTGTGATTCCAGCACTTACATTCTACTTTTTTCAGTTTTGCAGATACTGAACATCTATGACCACATATGAATTAGTGGATTTGGTTCATAATTAAAACTGGAGGGCAAAGGACACAAGGGGCTTTGGAGAAACTGGGAGAATCTCCTCTTTCACTTATGAAAATGAAGTCTACTGAAGACCATGAACATCTATACAAATACTGGGAAAGGAACATAAAATACACACAAAATAAGCTACCAAAGGAAACCCTAAAGAATGAAGATTTAAAATAGGCTTACCTGTTCCATTAAAAATATTACTTGATAAAGAGTTATTCATTCCAAATGCCTGATTCCTGTTCATTCCAAATCCAGACATGCTAACATAAACAAAAACAGAAGAGTAAAGAAAGTTGACATATATCCTCTAAATAATCCTCTAAATAAATATAGATCACCTTATTTTGACCTGCAGGAGATGAAAAAATTATACAAAACTAGCATATTACCCGTGTTGTCTGTTTTTTATATGCTCACTCCTTCTCAATGAATCAGTTTAAACATAACATAAAAGAATAGCTTGGCTTGATAATAGCGCCAACCAGCAATAAGTGGTGGTCATATGGTTGGAAGCAATTGCTTCTCATTTATGAATAAACACTCTGGCTAAAATAAGAAGTGAGTTACTGACTCCAAATGGAAATTAAATTCTCTTTTCTAAACTGGAAATAGGCTGATATGAACTCTTAATGACTATATCCCAAACACAGATAAGAGCCTGATGGAAGAGTCGCCCATAAATGTGATCCAGGAAATATAATCTCACCATTATGACCTCTTAACAGGACATAGCTACATATTGTTATGTTTAATGCACCAAAAGATGCAAAGAAATATAAACTGAATTAGATATAAAGCATTTAAAAAATAACACTGTGTATTCCAAGACCATTGTTTGAAACAAACTGTTATTTAAAAAATGTTGGGCTGATACTGCTGATCTGTTACAAAACAGAATTGAATTGAAGGTAAAATGTAGCTCTGAAGATATGTAAAGCATGATCAGCCCCACAAGCCTTTAAGAATCAAAGAAATCCAAAATTCTTCAGGAAGTTACAACAGTACGTATCATCTTGTGTACCACAATCTTCACATGGTTTGCAAACAATGAAGACACTTTCTTATTGTCACATCTCATATAATTCATAAGCATAATGCTATTTCCACTTTGTCTTTCTTCCTGTTTCTCACTGTCACCAACTGTTTATTTTTTTCATTTAACCCTTTCTTTTTTATATAAAAAACCAATTCAAGAGGAATATACCACTGGTTTATTTGTGCCACCTTTGCTTGTCATTCATAACAGATCAGATGCAACACAAATATTAATTTAATTACTTTAATTGAAAATGGATCTCCAATTGGTAAATTCACAACTTATTAGAGACTCTCGGTAAAAGTATTAAGAAACAAGAGTAACTCTAACACCATTCACCTGTTTCTTAGAAACATTGTATTTGATACAGATATTTTCCTAAACAAATGTTAATAGATGCTATTTTCAGTCAACAAGTAACAAAGACTGATATACTGAGTCAATATAAGGCAGGAAAAACCTGCCTTTTACTTAAGGGATCTAAAAGAAGAAAAATTAAGACCATGAATTCCTATATAATATTTGCCTTTTTTCCCCAAAATTTTTTAAGCTCGGATTGGAAAAAAAAAATAGAGAATCTAATCCAAAACAGGCTTCAAAAGTCACATATGACATAGCAAAAAAAAATTGGAAAGAAGGTTAGTTTGTAAAACATGAGGACTTTGCTCAGAACTAAAAATATATCATTCCAGTGATGAAACCATAGCAAAATACAATGTACCTGCCTGCTGTAAATCTTGAAATATGCTCCGCTTCTTTATCAGAAACGTAGTGTGCATAGGAATGAAAAGGGAAGCTCTTTGTGTGATTGAATGCCCCTTATATAACATGGGATATACTTATCTTACCTGTTCACAGTAAAAGGTTGTCGAGAGGGTTGTTGCTTTGGCATACAGATTATGCTGGGTGAACTTCGATTAGGACTGCCTAAACCTGAACTGCTCATGCTGTTTGTCCTGCTGGGAATTCCAATGCCCTGACCAACCTGAGTGTGGTTCATCATATTTCTAGGATTCATAGGCAATATACCCCTGAAAAATATGATACAACAATAACAAGTATGTCAGCATATCATTATTTTCACTTTGTCCAAGCCAATTTGTTTCTAAGTGGACATTTTATATATACATGAAATGAGTTATTTTATAATGAAGACCACCAGTTGCCCATCTTTATTATTTGTATCATTCAATTGTGTGAATTTCAGATTCACACAATTCCCAAGTTCAATTAGGCTCGTATATTTTTTAAAAAAATTAGTGCTCAAGATTCTTATGTTCTAGGAAAGCTCTATACTGACTTGGAAAAAACAGTATGGGCTTAATAGGCTAATACTGCAGTTCCCAGATTGTGCCCTATGGTGCCCCAGGATGCTGCAGCAAACTCACTGGGATATTTTATTACTTAATAAATAGAACTGTTAATAAGTTCACTGCAGGGCCCTAAGCTTCTGGTAAGAAACCGCCAGGGCCACTGAAATTCAAAAAAGTCTGAGAACCTCTAGGCTAATGCACAAAATTACAATTCCTACTTGAATTTGGAATCCTGAGGAATGAGAGACTATCAAGTAATGCCAACAATAACACTTTTGTTTGCTATATAAAATGTATTTTACTTATTAAATTTATATAGTTGCTCACTCGCCAAGCAACTATTCTATCAATGCTGCAAGATTTTCCTAAAAGGTATCCACCTATCTACCTCAACAGAATGTATACATTATTTTCTGTAGTAGAACCAATACTGCATTAGAAGTTTTTGTCCTACATGTTCGCAAAGCAGAAGCAACAATCCAGGAAACAAACATCTGGTTCATTATTTCAAAATATCTAGAATGCAAACTACTTCTAAGGAAATAAAACAGTATAATAGAAAATGTCCTGGAGAAGTATTTGTTATCAATAAATACCTGCTTGGAGATGGAGGCGTGTGAAGTGACATTGTTGGTACCCCTGTTGTTGGTGTTACGTGGCTTGGTAACTGAGTACCTTGTGATAAGCTGCGATTTAACTGAGGGGTATTGTTACTTATCCCCCTCATTGGAAGGCCTAGTGCACCTATTGAAAAAAAAATCAGAAGAAGGGGAATGGAGAAAATTAAGGCATAATCTTATCTGTTTGCTTTAACAATAAAATATCTTAATAAATATTTAAAAAAAAATAAACAAGCAGACCACCATTTTATGAAAACAGTTTTTAAATTCACTGTTTTCTATTTCCAAACTTTATTTTTTATTAAATGAAAGGATTTTCGAGTAGGAGGATTATGGATTAAATATGTAGTTTAGTGTTTTTTTCCCCAGAAACACTTGAGAATCAAAAATATTTTTTAAAAATAAACGAATCCAAGCTAAATAGTTTCTATGTCTGGAGGAATTCCCTAAACTTCTTAGTCAATAATCTACTTCATACTTTAAATATTGTTTAATTAATTGTTGATTATCAATTATCAACAATCAATTGCTAAAGATAAGGATAGTTTGCAGAGTACAACACAACTTTGCATTTCCAACATTTATTAGTAGATATAACACTTACACTCCAATAACAGTCACAGCTGAAATCTATGCCAACTTACTAAACAATGACAGTAGACTTGCATCAAATGTATTATTTTGTACTAATAATTAATACAATGGGTGTCCATCTCCAAGTGGAATGGATATTGCTGGCATAATGGTTTTTTCTATTTCCCCCTTAAAATAATTCTTCAGGGAGCTTCTGGAGAGGGGAAAGGCAATGGGAGTTATAAGATGGGAAGAAACAAAGAGAAAGGAAGAGAAACAGATGTGAAATTCCTCTTCCCCTATGTTCTCCTGAGTAATATGAGTAGGACAGTGCTGTGTTTTGGTCACAAATATAAACATTTAGTTTTGATGCAAGCTATGTTTTAAAATCTCAATTTACAAAGGCCAAATGAAGATTTCCTGGTGGGATCTGAGATTTAGTAGCTTATGTATCATATAGTCTGCTTTTTTGGAGACAGAAAAATAATAGACAAGGCAATATACATTTGTGATCCAAAACTACATTTGAATTTATGTAACAAATCAAACTATTCATATTAATCAAAAGTTACAGAAATATATAAATTGCTTTCTTAAAATATTTAAAAACATATTCCTTCTTTCAGTTTTTTATGTATTAAATATATGAAAGATGTCTATTTATGTTCATGGATGTGCACCTTTGAGTGTAAGACAAAAAGAAGATCACATGAAAATATTATAGACAATAGTAAATAAAAACATCTAATATATTGCTCATCCTAATATCCAAAACAGGACAAAGAATTTAGAACTAGACTTCAAGAACATATTTCAAAAATCGGCTTATGCAGAATAAGCAATTAAAAAAAGAATGACTTTTTATGCTCTATTTTAAGACAACTATAAAGTACTATTTAAGGTAATACTATAGATATTTATACCAATACAAGCCAGCATACAACAAAGGATAAATAAGATGAAATGTTTATCAATGCTGAGATGGGAAGGACTACAACTATCACTATTTGTCTTGAAATTTTAATATACATATACCCACACGCACATATATATACGTGTGTGTGTATGTGTGTGTGTGTGTTAGTTATTTGGTATAATGAAAAATGTTATGCATATTACCTTCTCTATAAATGAGAAGAGAACACTGCCAACACTGTCTAAAGCAGAGGTTCCCAACCTTTTGGGCACCAGGGACCGGTTACATATGGAGACGTTTTTCCGCGGACCGGAGGGGGCGTGGTTTTGTGTGCTGACTGCGTCCCATGGATGGGGCTTTGCTTCTTTGTGCAACCCGGTTGCTGGTGTGCTGTGGCCTGGTACCAGTCCACGGACCAGGGGTTGGGGACCCCTGGTCTAAAGGGGCAAATTCATTTATCTGTATCTGAGAGTTCAGCTCCCCAACAGCTTTGGATGTTAAGTTCAGCTGCTAGGGATAAGATTATTCTTTGTTGTAAACAATTCTTAGAGCTATCACTTTATACGTCAAAATCATAATTTCCCCTTGAATGCTCTGACCAGACTTTCTATTCTCTGCTAGTCTTCCATGCAGTTCACAGGTCTGAGAGAAAAAGGCAATTTCTAAAATATATTACCATGCTCTCCTACACATGAATATGAACAAGAGAAACAAGGCATTCTGAGGAGCCACTTAACTGGCATTTTGGAATTGTAAGGATTCCTAAAGCACCCTAGTCAAGAGCTGCAATATAAACATACAAATAAGAAAACCTTCAGTTTCACAGTTCAATTAGAGAGCCATGTAGGATAGTTGCAGACTTAATAATGTACACAGAAATTCTTAAACAGAAGCAGAAATAATTTAGGAGCAGTTTAAAATTTACCCATATCTGGAAACATTTCTGAGCCATTTTATTATAAGGAAGGGGCCAGCAAAATAATACCCTAGGTACTGATGTTTTTTATTTAAAATCCAAGAGGATATTGTTCTTCCTGGAATATGATTCATGAATATTCCCTTTGAACTAATAAAAGTTTGCTATTCATTTATAGAAAAAAAATACTGCCAGATATAAGATTTTTTGTGAAATATTGACAACATAAACTGAAACAGCAAGTTAGACAAAGTCTAAAACATAATCTAGTATTATTATTTATTCTCCAGTAACTTAAGTGATAGGAATCTAATATGAACAACTGAATGTTCTGTACAAGTGCTAAAATTAAAAAAGCTATTTATGAATTGTTCATTTTTAATGCCCTCAATTGAAACAATGGCTTGAAAGCATATTATAGGAAAAAAGTTTGCATCATATTTTAAGATGCAGTTATACTGAAATTATTAAGGATGTACAAAGCAATTAAAAGAGGTGTTTTGCAAAGCATGCTAACAAGAGCGAAACACCTGTCTTCAAAGCACAAAAATAGTAGTGGTTTTTGGATCACTTCTGCATCTGCTCTGAAACTTGTTTCTAGTTGTCTGCACGTGTGCACACAAGAACAGTTCTGCTGACAAAGCAAAACAGCTGACTATGATATATATGTACAGATAACTGAAGATAGTTTTCAAAGCAGCTGTGCTGGACTTCCAACACTCTATCTTTTTAAAACACTTTGAACAGCTTTAAAAACTGTATCAATAGAAAAAAGGCTACATTAAATGAATCTAATTTAAGGTAACTTACAAACACATACAACCATTGGCCTATTATAAAAATAGATTTCTTACTTTGTTGCCCATATAAACTTGCCCCAAACTGAGACAGCTGACCTGATGTTGATGGTGATGCCAGCATCTAAATTGGAAATCAAATGTAAAACAAATTAGTCAAGGATAAAATGTAGTGGTTATGAAATATTAAACACTTTAAAGATAAGCACTATAATTTGTTGAACATTGATATTATGGCATTATGTGACAAGGAGGGACTTTTAAATTAAACCAAGGAGTATGGTAGCCATAAAAGCTGGGTGACCTCATTTTCTCTCAGTCCAACTCACTTCACAGGGTTGTTGTTGTGGGGAAAACAGGAGGAAGGAACGTTTGATATGTTTGCTGCCATGAGTTATTTGTAAAAATAATAAAGGTAGGATACAAATAAATAAAATAAAATCTCTTATTATTAAATGGAATTTTGTTCATTATATGCCCACTGCTGTGAAAGAAACTGCAGTTTGTTCTGTCCTTGGGGTTCCCTGAACATTCAGGATGTGAACAACTAGTATCCTGTTATAAATATCACTTTCTTGAGCAAAGTAATAGAAAAAAATGATGGCCAGCCAGCTACATATGCACTCAGAGAAAGCCTATTATAATTTCAGTTTGGCTTCAGGCCTCAAATCATCAGTTCAAGTAACTGAAGAAATTTAATACAGGTAGTCCTCGATTTATAAGTTTATTTAATGACTATTCAAGGTTACAACAGCACTAAAAATGTGTCTTATGACCATTTTTCACACTTACAACCATTGCAGCAATCCCCATGGTTCATGTGATCAAAATTCAGGTGCCTACCAACTGACTCATATTTATGGCAGCTGCAATGTTTCATGTGATCCCCCTTTATGACTTTCTGACAAGCAAAGTCAATGGGGAAGCAACAACCCTAACTTAACAACTGCAGTGATTCAATTAACAACTGTGACAAGAAATGTCATAAAATGGGGAAAAATTCACTTGACAAAGGTTTAGCTTAGCACAAAAATTTGGGGCTCAATTATTGTCTTAAGTCAAGGACTACTTGTAGTGTAAAAATCCTTAGATACCCAAACTGATTAATTTTACACACAGATAATACAAGTGCTACCTTTAGATGTTTTAGATATCTTAAGTTGAATTTGTTACTTGTTACCAATTGTTACTTGCTAAAGTGGGACAGTAGGAAAGGAAATCGAGATGTTGTTTGCAGTCCTATTTGTAGGACTACTACTGGAGAGCATTTGAGTCAAAACTCCATCCCCCTTCTTCCTTGTACCTATACAAAGCCACTGAGGAAAGTTATCCAGTAACTGAGAACATAGTATCTTCAATAATACAACCATGCTATATTTTTACAAATTTGCAGAGTGCTCTGCTGTTGTAAGAGTAAGAGCAGTAACTATGGCACTTAGCAATAGCTCTTAGACTTATATATTGCTTCACAGTGCTTTACAGCCTTCTCTAAGCAGTTTACAGAGTCAGCATATTGCCCCCAACAATCTGGGTCCTCATTTACAGACCATTTTACTGAAGAAAAGAAGGCTGAATCAACCTGGAGCTGGTCAGGATCATACTCCTGGCAGTAGCAGAGTAAGCCTGCAATAATGCATTCTAACTACTGCGCCACCATTCTGTAAAGTGTGTGGTATAGTAAAAGTAATTGTGTTTGTCTGTCTATGTGTGGGGTGTAATTCTGTATATTACAAAAACCTACTCTCATTAAGCCTAAACTTTAAAATTAAATGTAATATGCACAAAAAACTTACATCTTTTTCTGATCGATGTGGGAACATCGATGACTGGCTGTAGTACATATTTTCATCATGGTAGTCACTGTCGACCCCCTCTACAAACTTCTTTCTTGAAGCACCAAACATGCTGTTTGTCACCTAGATGATAATATATACAGCATTGTTCCCTTTAATTATTTATAGAATAAAAAACCTAGGTATTCAAGTTGCATAGATTATATTTGTATACATTTAGGCACCTTTGGTCTAACGTAATGTATTTCTGTATGTCTTAACATTATAGGAACAAACTTTCAGTTTTTGAACTCTGTAACAGTGTAACACCCACAAGGTCTTGTTTTATGTTCAACTAATCAGATTTGCTCATTTCACCTCTCTAGAAATTAGTTTTAATTATAATGGAGATAAGCAATTTCAGACTTCATGATTCAGGCTTTTTCCCCCCCTAAATTATAGTTATATTACCATTGTTCCAGTTTTAAATGTGAACGATAAACCATAGCTAAATTGAAACTAGAAGCAAAACCCCATGAAAAATTGCTCTATAGAACTGTCTATAAGTTTCTTTCAAACCAAATTCTACAGTAAGAAGCAATTTAATTCTTTAGCTACAGTTTTTAAAAGTACTCATACTTGTATGCATTTTTTAAAAACCCATCATATGCAGTTAGTAGGCTATTTGTGCATTTTGTTACTTTTAATATTTGGTTGGTTGTTGGATTTTTACTACTTTTTAACAGCTTCTCTGTATTGCGTTTATATTATAGAACTAATATAACCTAGAACCTAGGTTATTAGACAACAAACATAACATATATACATGTATAAGCATTCTAATCATCTTATGTTCTTATAACATGCTACTGAAGGTAACTATCGCATCTACTTTGCTGATGAGTAATGGAGATACGTGTGCAAAATTTTGCCCAGTTTACCAAGAAGGCTATATGTTAATATATACATCTCTGTAGTACCACAATCAGAAAAACCAAGTCATGGAGCCAAGCCTACAGTAGGATGGCTCCTTTTGTGCCTAGCCACTACGACATTGAGTTTAATTGAAGGTATTGTTCCTTAACTTCCATTTTATAGAAAACCATATTCCCATCTTCCTCCAATGCATTTAACTAATGTTCTCACTTTATGATTACCACATCCCACTGCACAAATGTAATTATTGCCTACAAAAGGAAATGCTTAAGACCACAGGGATTATCTTCTCCTTTATTCTAACTGACCAAAGTAATGAGAGGAGAAATCTTTAATGGCAGGGATGAAAATCAGAAACAACTAAAGTACTATCCTGTATATATTAAGCTAGAGGGAACATTCTGTAACAGGTAACTCTTTCCTATTGCTTGTAATTTGGGAACTATCACAACTAATGCCAAGATAGGAAAAATTATATGATATTTTATTCAGATATCTGAATTAAAAACAAGCTGCAACTGCTCTCATGTATTCAGCCTTGATACATAGAATCCCATTTCCACTCTATCTAATTTGTCAGATTTACTACCCACCTTCCTTCAGAAATTCAAGACATCATATAGTGCTCCGTTCTCCAATTTCTCCCCCCCCCCCGCGCAATTCCTATTAGTAGGTTGGATTGAGACATAATAACTAGCTCACACGCATTCACTCAGTTTCTTTGGCTGAGGGTACACTTCAACCAAGGCCTCTTCAGTGGCAATTTAATATTTTCATCAATAGAACACAATAGCACTTTATGACAGCAGACTGAAACCTATGGCTTAACTGTCAGTCGAGCCCATCATTTTGTCTAACCATTAAGACTGCTGAGACCAGTAATTCTTAAAATAAAGAATGCCACATTATGTTAATTCCAAGTATGAAGTCAGAAATATTACAGATATTATTAAACCAGCTTTTATGAGTTGATTGAGTAATTTATTTATCTATCTTTTTACAATCTATAATGTGTACAAGATTCTTATATGACAAATCGATATTTTCAATTAGTGGCAGAAAAAAATACATTTTTACCATAAAAGTAACTAGACTTACATCTGCAAACAGAATTAAACCTGGATCATGTTTCTAAGAAAACATATGGATTGTGAATCGAATGCACTTAATGTAAAAAAGTTGATCTCTTTTACCTTACACACCTGAATAATATATAAAGAATGCAATTAGTGGGCCCAAAATTATAATTTAATATATGTACAGTGAAGAAAAAATTATTTGATCCCCTACTGATTTTGTATGTTTGTCCACTAACAAAGAAATGATCAGTCTATAATTTTAATGATAGGTTTATTTTAACAGTGAGAGACAGAATTAACAACAACAACAAAAAAATCCAGAAAAAGGCATTTCAAAAAAGTTATAAATTAATTTGCATTTTAATGAGTGAAATAAGTATTTGACCCCTTTGCAAAACATGACTTAGTACTTGATGGCAAAACCATTGTTGGCAATCACAGAGGTCAGATGTTTCTTGTAGTTGGTCACCAGGTTTGCACACATCTCAGGAGGGATTTTGTCCCACTCCTCTTTGCAGATCCTCTCCAAGTCATTAAGGTTTCAAGGCTGATGTTTGGCAGCTCGAATCTTCCCTCCACAGATTTTCTAGGGGATTAAGGTCTGGAGACGGGGAGTTGTCTTACCTGAACGCCTTTTCTCAGCATGATGATGGAGAATCCACCAATGGATTAGCTTCGTCTTCTGCCCAGATAGACTAAGTCAGCCAAATTGCCACGCTCCCTCCCTGGAGCAGGACCCCAGTCTCGATTGAGATGCAGCTGTTGGCTAGGATTCAAGTGTGTTGGCTCAATTATTTCTGACACAGGACCTGACAGACCCTAAGGGTAGGAGTGGATTCTCTATCATCATGCTGAGAAAAGGTGTTCAAGTAAGACAATGCCCCTTCTCCAGCATGACGAGTGGAGAATCCACCAATGGGACGTACCAAAGTCTCACTGTCCCTGTGGGTGGGAAGCAGTCTGGGCCTGTGTCCCACTCTTTGATACTACGCATTGGAGGACCCTCCTGCCAAATGAGGCCTCCGCCGATGTGAACTTATCTAATTTATAGTCTTACAAAAGGGGAAAGCGACGCCCACGTCGCCGCCCTACATATTTCTTCAATCGGCGCCTGAGTCGCCCAAGCTGCTAATGTTGCAGTGCTGCGAGTGCAATGGGCAGTGATTTGATTAAGGATTGGGAGCGATTGCCTCTGGTATGCTCCTGCTAGGCAATTCCTGATCCATCTGCCGATTGTGGATGCTGTGACCCTTCAACCCCTTGAGTGAGACTGGAAGGATACGAACAGGGCCTCAGACTTGCGGAAGGGTGCAGTTCGCTTTATGTAATGCCTTAAGGCCTTGCAAACGTCTAAAGTATGCCATTTGCATTCCAATTCATGGGAAGGCTGAGGGCAAAAATCTGGTAGCACCATTTCCAGCGTCCTGTGAAACCTTGGGAATGAAGGAGGGATCCAGTCATAGGATCACCCTATCTGCGTGGAAGATGCAGAGGTCTTCCCTAACTCATAGTGCTGCGAACTCTGAGATGCGTCTAGCCGAAGTTAAGTGACCAGAAATGTGACCTTAAGTGTCAGGTATTGTAAGGTGCAGGTCCGGATAGGCTCAAATGGAGATGAGGTGATGGCCTGTAGGACCTTGGATAGATCCCAGGAGGGATATCTGTGGACCACGGGTGGTCTGTTGTTCGTTGCGTCTGTTGTTCGTTGCGCCCATGAGGTGTCTGGCCAGTGGTTCAGAATTGCCATACGTGAGGATAGTGGACAGGGTGGCCACCTGTCTGCGAATTGTGTTGGGTGCTAATCTCCTTTTAAGCCCCTCCAACAAGTAGTCTAAGATCCTTGGAATAGTAATTCTAGAAGGATCTAAATGTTGTCTTGCACACCAGCTACAGTAATTTCTCCACGTGCAATCGTAAATTCTGTTAGTTGTAGGCCTTCTTGAGGCCTGGATCGTGGTAATGACGTCTGATGAATAAGACTCCCCTGTTAGGAGGCTCCATTCAAGTGCCAAGCAGTTAGTTGGAGCCACTGTGGCTCTGGGTGTTGTAGGGCCCCCTGGCTGAGGGAGATTCGGTCGTGTGGAATCCTCCACAGAGGAGATACTGAAAGACTCACAAGGTCAGCAAACCACGGCCGTCTTGGCCAGTTGGAGCAATAAGTATCACCTCTGCTTGTTCCTGCAGTATTTTTCTGATGGTTGCTTGCATCAGACGAAGAGGGGGAAAGGCATATAGCAGCCCCCTGGGCCAAGGCCCCCAGAGCGCATCTGCTCTCTCCGCCTCTGGTGATGGGAAGCAGGAGAAAAATCTCGGGAGCTGGGCATTCCTGGGACTGGCAAATAGGTCCAGCACTGGATGGTCGAACCTCTCTGATGCCTCTCTGAAGAGAACTGGATGCAGGCTCCATTCTGAGTGGTCTACTATTGACCTGATCAGGAAGTCCGACTGCTGATTTGCTTCTCCTGATACGTGTTCGGCTCTGAGGGAGACAAGGTTGTTCTCTGCCAAGATTCCTGATTGGGCCTTGGCCATGAGAGATCTGGATCGTGTACCCCCATCGGTTGATATGGGCCTTTGCCGCCTCATTGTCCGTGAGAACTAGAACGTGCTGATCCGCCACTGAGTTGCAGAAGTGGCAAAGGGCCAGGTATATGGCTCTGAACTCTAACCAGTTTATGTTGTGTCTCAGATCTATTTTGGACCATTGGCCCTGTGCCAACTGTGATTGCAGGTATGCTCCCCAACCGAATAAGCTGGCATCTGTGGTCAGGATGACTCGGGTGGGTTCCTTGAACATGTATCCTTTTCCCATCGCTGGGGATGACCACCATTGGAGACTTCAGGACTAGTGGTGGGACCCTTACCTTCTGGTTGGGGGGGGCCTGGTTCCTATTTTCTGAAACGGGAGCAGGAACCATTGCAAGCTTCTGGAATGTAGTCGTGCCCAGAACATGATTGCGATGCATGAGATCATCTTTCCCAGTGTGGTGGCCCGTTTCTTTTGAATCTGACTGACCAGACCTCGAATGCTGGTTCGACGCTCTTGACATAAGTAGACCTCACATTTCAGTGTGTCCATCACGTCTTCCAGATGAAGAAGGCGGGTCGATGGAACTATCTGACTCTTCT